TTAATGCACTCAGAGTGTGTGTGTGTGTGTGTGTGTGTGTGTGTGTGTGTGTGTGTGTGTGCGTGTGTGTGAGTGAGTGAGTGCGTGCATACGCGCTATTTTCTCATCTCCAACAGCTCAAACAAGACAAAGACGTCGTGCAGTTCTTACAAGTTGTAATAATCAAAAAATGAATCCCAATATTAAACACACAAGACATTCATTGGCAAGCACAAGCCGGCCATTCAACATCACGAAGCATGTGACAAGCTGCTTTCGGTGATGCGAAGGCAATCTCTTAAACAGCAGCTTTAATACTGTATATAAAGGGCAGCCTGCAGAAAGTTAAACTAAACTTGGCATGGCAGGGGAAAAAAAAAAATAGCAATATGGTGTCATTTTAGGTCACTCGCACTGGGGGGTTGGGGGGTGGGCAAATCATTTGAAGCAGTGTGAAATTTCCTTTTAGTGTCTCAATCAAATTTCCCACACTGAACAGAGGCGTTCCATATTTGCAGTCGTCTTTTAACAACACTTTCATGTGTTTGTGAGTTAAATCCTGCAGATTAAAAGTATATCTGACTTCAGTCAAGTGACCTCTGTATTTTCCCCACCCCTTCCACTGAGCTAGGCCAGAATATGTCAAGTTTCTTTGTGAATTGTGTCAAAAACTGGCAATGAAATCCTGAAACAATCATGTATTTATTTGTTCTTAGTATTTCATGATGATAGTTTTATGACAGATAACGGCCTTTTAAACAGAAATGGGTGATCACAAGTAGAACATTCTTTTGGGCGCGTGCGCACACACACACACACAAATGCAGAGACACATACACACTGATAGACGAGGAGTTAAATGTCAGTAACATAAGATAAAGCAGGACATTTTGGATATTTTGAGGTACTAAACTAAACATTTTAAATAATTGCAAAACGAACAGGCAGTCGGCGCAGCGTCGAAAGCAAAGCGGTCATTTGCTCTAGATTTCAAGTACCCATTTCGATCCTGGCAGCTTCGTTTTGGGGGTTAATTGTAGTGACAATACAAGGAGGACTTGGGGAGGGGAGTTGGCAGTGATGTAAATTATGATTTTTTTTTTTTGGGGGGGTGGGGGTGGCTTTGAATTTTAAGCATTAAGTATTGGGATGGCAGATGATGCAACAGTGAGCAGGGGTAGATCTGAGATTCCTGAGTCTACTTTAAGTTGAAAATTTAGGCCAACAATGTATGAATGTCCTTAGGGCAGTTTGTAAGCCAAAATGGGTAATTTGGGTATCATCTGCATTAAATGGAAACAGATAACTTTGAAGAGATTTCCCCTGGCAGCATGCAAATGTTGAACAGAACTGGGCCAGGGACAAAACCCTGAGGAGCTCCGCACCGCAAAATTGCAAAAGACACGGACGGACAGGGAGATCCAACACACAAATGTCCCGTCTGAGAGGTTACATTATGAAGCATTCAAAGGGCACGCCGTCTACTGCCCCGAGTCGGAGCAACAATGGCAAACTAAGCACGTCAGTGTCAGGAAAGGAGACACGCTAAATAAGCAGAATGGAAAGACTCAAGAAATGAGCCAGCTCAGGCCAAAAAGTTGGAGGGGAGGAAGAGGGGTGTGTGTGTGGGGGCTTTCTTCATGGCTATGTTGCTTCAGACCTTACTACAAAATCTTCAAATAGGTGCAACTTGTGTTCTGAGATAACCTCGCCGGTTTGATATGACTTAGTCAAATTTGGAACTGAATAACAACCATGCCTGTGCCAAAATTCTATTTGCCATCACCATGGCAAATATTATCTGTCAGGTTCGCCTGTTGCCAGGGGCGCTACAGTTAGGCAAAGCAAACATACTGTACATATATCTGGCTGCCCTGGTGCACGCAGACATGGAAATCCACCTGCCTTAGGGGTAGACTCAAGTGAATGGTGCCAACAAAGGGGAGGCAGGCCAAGGGAGGCAGGCTCCACTTGCCCAGACTGCCACTCACAACAGTGATTCCATTTTAGCCGTGACACAGTGGGTGAGCAGCAGCCAGCGCCTACCTGCGGTGAATTCTAATCAGCCCAGGGGTCTGCCTGGCGCCCCCTCCCCTACCTCCAGTACCCTGCCTCACACTAAAGGGCCTGATGATCCTTCAAAATTAATTAGATCCTGGTAGGTGGCGGCCATTTTCTTCCCACATCCGCACGCTCCACCAAAAAAACAAAATTTCCTGCACCCCCCCCAAAAAAAAAGTCCAACCAAATTTGAGCCCCCACTCCCCAACCCCTCGCGCCGATCTCTTTCTCTGTATCTCTACCTGTTTCCTGTTGCATCATCCCTCTCGCCGCCTTCCCCCTCTGTATTACGTGACAAGCTCATGAAATATGCTGCATCAAATTGGACATCAGTTAATAAGGCGGTGGTGTTGGGGTAAGGGGGAAGGGGGGGTAAGGGGCGGTGGGAGGGGAGGGGGGGTGAAGTGGCGAGACTGGGGGATGGGGGTTGAGAACAGACACAAGAGGCACGCGTATGAAAGGAGCAGTATCAGCCATGTGAATAATATAGATCTTGAATATGCTAATAGCGCTTCCAGCGCGCGTCGGAGGCCTTTGCTACATTTGCCACGTTTACATCTGGAGACAAAAGGCCACATGCAGACAATTGAGTGACCGTGCATGTGCGCGCACCACAAGATCGAGCATCACTCTTGTTTTTTTTTTTTAAAGCAATCATTTACGAGTTTGTTTGAAGCCCCGGCTGATTGATGAAGACCATTCGCCCCTCCCTCCATTACCCTGCCTCACACTAAAGGGCCTGATGATCCTTCAAAATTAATTAGATCCTGGTAGGTGGCGGCCATTTTCTTCCCACATCCGCACGCTCCACCAAAAAAACAAAATTTCCTGCACCCCCCCCAAAAAAAAAAGTCCAACCAAATTTGAGCCCCCACTCCCCAACCCCTCGCGCCGATCTCTTTCTCTGTATCTCTACCTGTTTCCTGTTTCATCATCCCTCTCGCCGCCTTCCCCCTCCATCTGTCTGTCTCCCTGTCTGAAACAATCACCCACCACTCCTCTCCTCTCCTCTCCTCTCCGAGCTCCCCCACCCCGCCCCTCGCCGCCTGCCTCCGTGCTCCGAGCTCTGTGTCTGCCTCTGTGGAGTTTGCTGTCAATAAATCCCCAGAGGTCAGTTTGTCTGCTGGAAATCAGACACAATGCTTCAGACCGCCAATGCGATGCATGCTCTGCTGCAACCGCCACAACAAAGGCTGAAGGAAGGCTCAGGGCTGGTGAGGAGGGGTACGGCCGCCGTTTGGGCCCTCCCCAAAATTTGGGCTGTAACCCCACCAAGCAGCCAGACTCCAGGTTAATCAGCTGCCTGTATTACGTGACAAGCTCATGAAATATGCTGCATCAAATTGGACATCAGTTAATAAGGCGGTGGTGTTGGGGTAAGGGGGAAGGGGGGGTAAGGG